CAAGCTAATCTGTTCTTGTTGAGTTGCACCTGGATTGAGGACAGGATCAAATCCACCTCACACCACCACCCCCCAGCTCTGCCCCCCCACCCATGCTATTCTCAAAATAGGATCATGTGACTTGAAGGATACTGGATTATTCTTAAGATGTTTTAAAAAGGAAGAGAGATCACCTCTTCTGTCCCCTTTGCAGTCTTTCCTGCTCTTTCTTTTAGTAGGAAAATCATGTAAGGGGACTGCCACTGAGCTGGACAAGCAGGGAATGATGAGGGAGCTGAAAGCTCTTGTAGGTTCTGCTCTGACAGGCACCACTGGTCCAGAGTCCTCCTCCTAGGTCTTCAAAAAGTAAGTTCAGCCCCAAGGCACACCCACATCAGGTTTTGGGGGAGTTCTCCACAGACACGCATCACTCTGTTCTCTTTGTGGAAGGGAGCATAGTCCCATCAGAAGATGGCAGAGGCCTTTCACGACCTGCAAACCAGTGTGGGTAACAGACCAGTGTGGGTGAGAGAGCACCAAAGCACAGGATGCTCGAGCCCGGCCAACTTTCTCCTCAGTTAGCAGAGTCAGGAGTTACATGAGGCTTTTTCAACATGTCATGTGCTGAGTTTATGGCTGTGGGGTCCGGCAGACTGTTTTAAAATTGCATGTAAACCAGCTATTAGGAGTGTTTTCAAATAAGTGTTTGAAGCATCTTTTTAATACTCAGAGGCTAACAAAACTGTGTTCTGACAAGGGAGTATCTACACTGTCAAGTCTTTGCTTAGTGAAGACAGGGAGATAAAACCACCTGTCTACCATTTCCCACATCATGTTCTCAGAAGAGAAAATTACATTTGAGCCTTTTTAGATCTGTACGTATGGCGCATACAACGGTTCATTCTGTGCCTATTAAATCTTTGAAAGGAATTACGTTTTACATCTTAGAGTAACTGTTTCCAAAATTCAAAAAGAAAGCTAGATGACCTTGGATGTTGTATTGATAATGTCTTAGCTGTGACTAGTCAGCATTCTGGGACATTAATTTCAAGAAAATTTCAAGAATTTCAATTTCAAGAAAAATTGAAAATGTTCTGAGGTAAAATTCACGTTTTTCTTCTTGGCCCCCTTCCCCATTTTTTGCTCATGTGATGGGACAATGTCTGTGTCTGCAGGACAGGACGATCCCTGAACCTATCTTTAAGAGAGCTTAGCCTCTGAGAGACTGACATTTAAGGTGATTTTCTATAGTTTCTCTCTGGAAAAACTTCGCCTGGTAAAAAAAAAAAAAAATGGTTTCATTGGGAGAAAGTCATATTTCATCTGTATAATAAATACATCAGATTGGAAGAGAGCGTCCTAGCGGTAAGCTGTTTAGATCAGATTAAAATTGTGAGTGCATTTATGGGAACTCTTTGTTCAAAACTTCTCTAATTTCTAAAGGTTAGAAATTAATGTGTGAGGGCAATCAGATTTGACTAAAACATTTTAGTAAAATAAACACACCTAAAAAATTATACAGATAACCTTCAAGACATAGAGAAATAATATAATGTAAAAATGAGGGATGTTTGGTATACAGAAGGAAATGTGTACTTTGTTCTGAAAAAAGAACCCATTCAGGTACTGGATTAGTTTCTATTGAATATCATAAGTTCAGATGTACGTTGATATGTTATTTTAAAAACACTTCACTTACATTCAGTCTTAAGAAAATAGTTACAAAATACCACAGGCGACCAGTTTAAGAAGTAAAGCTTGACAAGCTAAAAAGTCAACATTTTCAGTGAAAAAGAAAAGTGCATTCAACAAAGAAGCTTTGGCTGGGCCTTCCATAATCCTCATGGCAACACAGGAGGTGGGAGACCTCAGCAAACCTTCTGTGTGAGTCCTACCTGTACAGGGTGTGGGGGCTGAGGAGGGAGGGTCTTGCCCTTGGGCAGTCCTGTGATCTCAAGTTCTGGTGCCATGTGGAGGACTCTTCTAGGGTTCGGTGGATTTTAAGGTTTGCCTTCCATTAGGCAATAAAGCAAGAGCTCTTTCAGTGAGTGGTGAAAGTCTGAGTTTCCAGCTCACCAAAACTGGGGCTGCCCTGCTGTCTTAATCGCACGGTCTGGCAACATGGCGTCAGGGCCGAGAGGATGGGTTGGTGGTGTCTGCGAGTGATAGTGGCTGGAAGGATCACAGGAACTATGTCTAGCAGGGAAGAGGAAGGCTAAGACAAGCCAGAAATGAAGTCACTGGTTTCATTTTAGAGAACTGGCACTGTAGAACTTGAATTTCAGTGGAATTACATGAATTCCTTTCTGTCCACTGCCCCCCTCCCCCCAACTCATGGGCCTACCCATAATCCCACAGTCCCAGTAGGAACATGTTCAATTTTTAGAGATGCTCTCAGGGGCGCCTGGGTGGCTCAGTGGGTTAAGCCTCTGCCTTCGGCTCAGGTCATGATCCCAGGGTCCTGAGATCGAGCCCTGCATCAGGCTCCAGAGAGCCTGCTTCCCCTTCTCTCTCTGCCTGCCTCTCTGCCTACTTGTGATCTTTCTCTCTGTCAAATAAATAAATAAAATCTTTAAAAAAATAAATAAAAAAAATAGATGATCTCAGATTTAATAAATGGAGCAAACCTGTCATTCCACCCCTTTTGTACCATTAGTGATGTGTTTTCTAGAGTCCCCTGGTGTGCCTTTCAAGTCAGATGGAGTACACGTATTCTGGACTGTGTGTGTGCAGATGTCTAAGTGTGAGATCTACTGTTTAAAACCCCAAGGTTGGCAAATGAAATGCGAACACATGTGTGTCTTGAGCAGGAACTTTCACAACCCAGGTAAGGGCTCCGACTTCCGTCACACACTTACCCGGTGCAGACATGAGTGTAGATGGAGAAGGGTGGTAGTATCTTTCTCTTCTGTCCTTTTCCCACTTCTCAGCTCTTAAAAGGGCCTAAAAGCAAGTGAATGGAAAATCGTCTCCGAAGGATAGTCTAGAAACAAAACCGGCCTCTAGGTGGCGCCGGAAAGCAGTTTCGGGCAGGCTGGCATCTGGTAGGGTGGAGAGGGCCCCGGCTGAGCCTCTGTACCTTGCCAGCTCCTGGGCACAGTGTCCCACACGCTGCTGTCCCCTGCTCTCCAGCCTCTCCGGGCAGCTCACGGGGCCACTTCTAAGACATTTTTTTCACCTATTCCTGTGTCTATGAGTTGGTATTTGATTGATGTGGCTAAACCATCACTGTTGGTCCAAATCGTCAAACTAGAGGGCGAGAATGCGCTGAACCTGAGAGCGTTTGCTGATCCCAGGTCAGTTTGCCAGGAAGCCGCGAAACATCTGCCTGCTGCTCCCCCAGCTTCCTGCCTGCCCAGCCCCATCTCGCCCGTGTGGAGCAGGCTGGGGCTGCAGGAACGAGGCTTCTGTTTGCCTGGGAGAGCAATCTTCCCTAAGTGGATGGCTTGTCTTTTTTTTTTTTTTTTTGGTAAAGTTTTTAAAAAGGTGTCACAGCTGCTACATTTGAAATCAGATACTGATCTTTAATTCCTGTTAAAACATTTGCCATCAATAAAAGCAAGCCCCCCCCCCCCCCACGTCCTGGTCAATCATAAGAAAATGTAAGTAGATATGGGGTTCCAATAACAACCTATTCACACACACATGCTCACTCGGAAGGAAACCCTTGGCATAAAAATGTAAGAATCTGTAAGTCCGGTCCTTTTAACATATACTTTTTTTTTATTAAATATGTAAAAAGATAAACGCAAGTCAAGTTATTCACATATTCAGAGACAAAAAAAACTATCCTACCATGCGACAATAGGGTAATGTAAAATGAATGTGATACATCTGAATAAGACTTTTTCATCTATGATGTCATTACTTATCTATTTATAATTAACAATACATATGTTTACATTCCTTTCAGTTTACATTGAATATATAACAAAAGCTTTATGGTGTACTATTTAGTAAAAGTAATCTGAATGCATATTAAACCTTAACGGAATAATGCAAATACTCACCAGGGAAGGGAGGAGTTCTTGGTTCCCTTCTGGAGTTTACTTCTCTCTGGTCAACAAGGTGTTTGTCTGGTCTTTTTCTGCTTAGAAAGAAGACGGGCTCTCTCTCTGCCCCCTGCTTCAATCACTTCCTATCTGACACGAGCAGCGGAAGTGCTATCACCGGCCACAGCCGCGTGGCCAAGAATGAAGTCCGGCTTCTGCGAGGGCAGGCAGAGCCCACAAAGGGATGCTTCTCAGCCCGGCGTGAGGACGTGTGATGGGGGGGCCGTGGAAGAAAGCATGCCCTGGATGCCGAGATGGGAGGACGATGGGGTGCAGGCCTCGGGGAGAAAGGAGTGGCCCTGGGGAAGGAGGTGGTCTGCACAGAAGTTGGGGTGCAGCTCAAGACGATGGAGAATCCTAGCTGTTCAAGATTCCCTCAAATATCCGTGATGTCACACGCTACCCAGCATGAGGGAAGAGGGGTCAGATGCGGACAGAAAGAGGGATGTGGAACTCTTCTCTAAATCCGTGAGCAGCTGGCGCTAAGACCTGGGATGGAGAATCAAGGACGACCACCTGGGAAAGGGAAGGTATCTGGCCAGTAGGTTTCCTAGCTGACAAGGCTGGGGCACCAGGGGGAGGCAGAGCAGCTGTCCCCCTCGAGGCTGAGGCAACTTCCTCCATCATCACACCCACCCCCATGCCGGCAATTCCGGCCGCGGTCCACCAGGCACTGGGCATCACTGAGATGTCCCTGCCTAGCAACCACCGAAGCATGCTCCGCGTGGAGTTATTTGCTGTGCCTCTTTACAAGAGCGATTTTCACAAAAGGAAGGTCCATACAAACGGCCGGGAGGGACCACACTGGTAAGCGTGCGGCCGAGCATAGCACAACCACCACCTGTACCCAGGTGTGGGAGGATGTCACTGCTGAGAGCCAGGCTGTCCAGCCCGAGAGAAGGGAGCTGCCGCCGCCGCGCAGAGCAGGCGGGAGAGAGAAGGAAGGGAAACCAAACACCACAGAACGTCTGTCCAGTTATGCACAGTGCGTTGTAATAACCTCACAAATACAAGCCATCGTGTTCACCGGTAACTCAAATACCACTTTGCTGCGAGATATTTTGGGAAGACTTCTTTTGGTGGCAAGCTCCAATGCTAGAATTTAGAATTAGTAGTCCATCAATTAATAAAGAAATGTCAAAGCTTTCGGATACATATTTCACAAATTTATTTTAAGCTTTTCAGTTAAGAGGCAAGTGGGGCGGGCACACTTGTTTGTTGTTCTTGCACCTGCTAAGTAACAAGCGAAGTACATCTAAAGTTCAGAAACCAAGTGAAATGAATGATCCAGGAAGGGATACCATCTGTCAGAGGAATAAGAGAGGCAAAGATTTGGAAAGATACTAAGAAAATGTGCAAATATTAGTTAAAAAAATAAGGAATGCTTTTAATTCATTAATGTTTCCTCTATTTACGAATTGCCACGGTTATCAATGACAAGGAGGGCCGGAGTATTAACGAGGGAAATTCCTTATTTCCGAAGGTATGGGGAGTCATAGATTTTTTTTCTGTGCTGTCATTCCAGGGTCAACACCAGACTTCAGAATCCGGAGTCTCCCTTGGAATGATGCTCCTAGTAAGAAGGTCTTCACTTGGCAGCGAGCGTGCAGCACGACGCAGAGCCCTGCCCCTCAGGGGCGCACACCCTGAAGTCATTCTGGAGGAGGAGTCCCCTAGCGCGGAGGACAGGCTTTGGGCTGAAAGCCAGAGAGGCAGGAGGACCTGCATCTACGCAGACCCCCTCTGGACTGTAGGTAACTGATGACAGCTTTTGGGAAGAGTGGCTGCCCACCAAAGAGGACCCTGAGAAAGAAAAGAGCATGAGAACTCGGGTGGGGGAGGGGAGGGCAAGCAGTCAGAGGGCGAAGTGGGGATGGGGGTGTCCTCGAGTGAATGTCTTTCGAAACTAACTGTGTGACCGTCTGCCATGCTCAGGGAGAAATACTGCTAGGCCCTGAAGTCCTAATTTTGATTCTTTTTTTTTTTCCCTTTAGTGTTGGGAGTCGAGGGGGAAGCTTTTTCCCTATAAAAGTCACTGTCCTTATGGCTTTCATATCAAGGATCTCTTTCCCTTTGCTCCAATTTATCATTTGACCAAATTAACGTTCAGAGGTTAGACTTGCAAACATCAAAGCACCACGAATGTGTGACATCTAGTGACACTGGTTGAGAAATGCCAATATAAATACCATATATCAAATTACCATTGTTTCACACCAGGATAAAAAGGGGGTGGTGGTGGGGCGGTGGGGAGAGTTGTTCCGGAAAGAAATGAGAAGAGCAGAATCAATCCCAAGCAGCCAAGTGGTGAAGTGGTAGGTATGTGACCCCGTGACCTCTCGGGCCGCCCGAAGGCCGGCTGCTAACGGGTCTTGGCAAAGGAAATGGGAACCGAGCGCGGTGGCTGGCGGATGCAACAGTGCGTTGATGTTAACAGCAGACTGGGAACGACTGGTTTCTGTTGAGCTTGAGGCCACACGTTTCTCCAGAAGAAAAGTTCCCACGCACAGCTGGAGGCGCAAGGGGCCAGGACGCTTCAGTACTCTTCCTGCTGCTGGGGCTGCTGGTCGTGGACTTGGTCCTCGGCCTCGGCCTCTTCCGGGTGGCCCTCCTGCCAGACAGGGGGAGAGGTTTCAGCTGGAACTACGGACTGGGTAGGAGGCCCCGCAGCGTCCAGAGGACCCCCCTCTCCCCGGAGAGCGTGCGTGAGTCCCCCCTTGCCAGCCAGGGCTCTCCCACTCCCTGAGCCGATGCATCCCCAGATGCCGCTGCTTCCCTGCTCCAAGGACTCATCATTCTAGAACACAGCGGTCAGGTGTGACGCACCTAACATTCCTTCATGGGACACATTTCTACTTTCCTACCCTCGTGAAAGAGTCAACCAAGGCACGGCCTCCAAAGCATCATGACCACCCGGGAAAACCTGCTGTGAAAAGGCAGAGCCCTGGGCCACTGTGGGATGCGACGCTTCGGCTTCCTTTCCTGCCTTGTCCCTCTTCTTACTGAAACAGACCCTGTGGGAGATCGGATACTCCTCGGCTGTGGAGATGCCCCTGTCTGAGTCGTAAGGCAAGGGAGGGCAGCAGGGGGGTCAGCAGCCAAGGCTCAAGGACTTTGGGATATCTGCTTTGGGTACCTAAGTACTTCAGGGACAGGACCCGGAGGGTGGAGGTGTTCTAGAACCCTTTCATTCGTTCCTCTAACCCCCATGAGCACCGCTCCAGGGAACATCAGCCCTGGCTGGCTGCATCTGCAACTTCTGTAATGTTCTGACGCAGGAAGCAAGCGGCTCTTATCACCTGAGCCAAGGGGGCCACTCCCACAGGAGTGCTGGCGGCCTCACACCGGCCACCCTCGCTCCTTTCTCAACCCCAGTACCCCACCCGCCGTCCTGCCAGGTCTATGCCCTACAGCCCCGGGCAAGCCCAGCCCCCTAACCACGGTAGGGCCTTCTCCCCTGAGCCCCGGTGCTTGCTTTCCCGGGCGGCAGCACTCCATTTCCTCCTTAGCTACAACACTCGGGCATGGAAGCTCGTGTGTCTCCAACACGGTGGCCTCAGGTTACTCAAGTCAGGGATGGGAGGGACCTCACCCATCTGTGTCACACTTGCTTACTTCCCAACTTGGTACAGGTTGTGCTGAGAGGAAGAAATCCCCGAGGACCCAGGAACAGATGAGCATGTTACTCAACCGCCGTGTGCCTTAGTTTTCCCTTCGCTACAATGGAGAATTATAACAGGCGCGCCCATTTAACAGTTTCCCAAGAGCTTTGCTGATCGGTGAGTCAGTGGAGTCCCTGAATTCAACAGAGGAGTCAAGGAATTCAAGAAGGTAAGGTGCCTACAATATTGGGTTGTTCATAACACCTATTGTGAGCTGCAAATATTTCATGGTGGGAGAATTCTTTGAAATATATTCTAGGAGTGGAAAGATTTTTAAAAGGTAACCTCTTCTGTGACAATAGTAGAAAGGAACATCACACTGAAGACCCTGGTTCCAATCTAGCCCTATCCCTTACCAGCTTGGGGTCCAGAGGCATCATGTTTAGTAACAGTCAGCTCTCCCCATGCCCAGAACCATCCCTCTTCCCATCCCCCAGAACTACTCCACCGCGATGTGCCAAGGCCCAAGATCCTGCTCTGCCCACACTCTGCTGTCTTTGGGGCCCAACTCCTTCATTGCTTAACTGTATTTGATTCTGGCCTCAGAATGTCCCCCCTACCCCGTACCCCTGGGCCCTCAGTGCAGCCTCCGGGGCAGCAGCCTGGCCTACAGCCTTGTGTGAGGGATGAGGGTGGTCCTCGCTGCTCCGAAAGGGAGCACCTCAACTGACAGTGGCATTCCTAGGGGAGCAGGGGAGTATCTGTGGGCATAGTACAAGACTGCACAAGTCATTGCCCTCTCCCAGTGAGTGTTCTCCCTCTTGTCTAGGGGCGAAAAAGAAGTCTAGTGGTCACAGGTCTTTACCAGGAGTTGGAGCCTGGGAACTCCCTGGTGTCTGTTCTGCCACATGTTCCTTCCTGATGCCACTCCCCTACCCTCTCCCCAGTGTCAACTCCTTTCAGCTTCACATCCTGGCTCCTGGCTCGGCTTCGGTCAGGCGACGCACCGCAGCCCTGAGTGGGGTCAGGGATGTTATTTCATCCATCACCCTAACTCTGTACTGCTAGTGGGGTACCTGCCTTTGCTCCAGCTAGGACGGCAGCAGGCCGCAAGTGTGCGCTCCTTAGTTGTTTAGTGTGTGTTAGGGTGCACGGGAGGTCTCAGACCTGAGGATCTGTTTGACATTTCACAGCAGATCGCGTTTGCTTACAGCACAGTTGGGAGTTAACTGCGGGATAATGGGGTTAACCCAGGACTCAAAGTCAAAGACTTGGATACCACACCATGGGCCGGTAACAAGCTGTGGGACCAGGAACCCATGAGATCAGACCTCACCACGGCTCTCCCCTTCCTACTTGTCAAGCCAGGGGGCACTGCGGTCTGCAGCGGGCCAAGGGCAGCTCTCACGGTGATGTCATCTGCCTGCGGGAACTGTGGACTCCAGACTCTTACCAGGAGAAAGTGCAAACCTCCCAGCTTATCAAGGGATTGCTAATGCTAGGGGCGCAGGTTAAGGCGGTGTGAAGGTCTGGAGAACAGATCCGGAAGGCTGAGGTGGTTGGACGATGAATCACAGCCAAGTGCTTCCAGCTCACACCAGGCTGGGTAAACTCCCAGGAAGAAAAATTTTCTGACGCCCTCCACGAAAAGGAACAACGGAAACCCGCATGGAAGCGGAAGCCAGGCAAAGCCCACGCCAGACAATGCCCTGGAGCACTACGGGCTAAATTCTAGTGTTTGCCTATCATCAGAGCTTTCTCAAGGTTTGGCTATGAGCGAGCCTAGAGTTCCTCATTCTCATGATCTCAGTGGAAAGAGAAGCAAGTCGGAAGTCTGTGGGAAGGCTCTTGCCTACCACAGGAGGAAAATGGGGGCAAAGGAAGGAGGACCGTCAACGGTGGCTCCCGACTTCCTCGATGGGGCTGGGGGCACTCAGGAGGCTCACGTGCCCCGGTCACACCGGCCACATCTGGCTGTTCTTGGCTCAGGGCTGTGCCCACCTGGTTTTCTCTGCCTGCACAATCCTCTCCCTTCCCTAGCTCTGTGCAGCTGCTCTTCCCAGTCATTCTTCACCCCCACCCCAACATCCTCTTCTCTGGAGTATCTGCTTGTCACTCCGGGCTGTCGTTGTATGCTCGCCACACAAGTTTATGTCTCTCTTACTGCATGGGTCATACCTGACATAGTCCGGTCAGTGGCCCCTCGCTGAGGCAGTGGCTCTGTCCCTTCTGTCCACCCAAGCCTTAGTCCAGTGACAGAAACACAGGCTCTTCCCCAGAGCTCTCGGTTGCGTGGAGAGGAATCTTTAGGTCACCCAACAGTGACTTTTGTGACAGTGCCTTGGGAATTAAGTGCCTGTTTATATAAGCAGGCGCACCTCAGCTGACAGACGGACAAGGCAGCAGCTAAGCAATGACTAAGTCCAGATACCTGTGGCCCCAAAGGGAAAAAGATCCTGAGAATGATAAAGATGGGCACGAGACGGCTGTCTGGTGATCTGCTTTGGAAACTTCCATTAGGTTTCTACAACCGTGAACTGAACCGCCCCTGTTTACTTCTGTACGCAAACTCCCATCTGGATTTCCACATCTTCCAAACATTCTATTCTAGGATTGTTTGACTTCCAAGAATCAAAGACCAGCCATCACCAAATAAAGACTTAGAGAAGAAGCCTCTCCGGCAAACACCTGTCCCTGAAACGCAACTTAGGGCACGTCTGTATTTAACCGAACAACAGGCACAGGGCGGAATCCCCTGAGGTCACACTCAGAAGTCAAGAACTCTCGCCCAGGGCCGGCCCTGCTGGCTGTGAGCCAGAGCTCAGGGATCCATGTCAGCTCTGAGCTTGGAGGGCACCTGAGTGGGTCCTGGCACAAGAATTCCCTCTTGGGACAAGACCAGGAGTGAGGTGGCTGTCGGAAGGGTTCTCCTCCTGCCCACAGCACAGGGCTGGGACGTGCTGATGCTGCACACTGCCTTCCTCTGTCAGTGGGCCTGGTCCTGCAGAGGGGGGCGCCATGGAGACCGGTTGGCTTTAGCCTCTGACAAGCAAGCAAGCACTCGGGCCACAAGCACTCGGGCTGGTGCCGGCACACTAGAAATCAGGACGTTTCTGCCATCGGATCTGAAAACATTGAGAACCGTATTTTGTGAAGCCATCTCTGCCTCTGGGACCTGGACAGGAAGCTTCTCAGGGCTTCAAGATCTACAGTCTGAGCCAATGATAACTGAGAAAGAGGCTTCAAAACAAAACAAAAATATGGGCTGGGGGAAGGGAACAAAAAATGTAGCGGGGGGGGCCTCAAACCCTGGGCTGTTTTAGAAAATCTCATCTCTAGGATTTCAGATCTAACAAGGAGTAAACATTTGCCTGGTATTGGGCTGGAATAAGTCCTAAAGTAAGCTTGCCGGTGACTTGTTCCCAGTGGGTGGAAGTGACAAACACAGCTCACCCCCAGAACCCTGGGAGGGGCCCTCGGTGTCCAAGTTCAACAGCCTCAGACGCTTCCATCAGCTGCAGCCTGGCCTAGGGAAGAGCTCGAAACCCCAGCCCAGACCCCTCTTTCACACCTTCCACAGGGGGGCTCCCCGTCAGGCTCCCACTCCTGCCTTGCTGCCCGGCCCCTCACTCATCTCTCCCCCGCTTCCCTTCCTGCCCTTGAGTCTGTTCCTCGGCTGCTCCTCACACCTGCTTTCCATCACCGGGATGGAATCCACATGCTGGGATTCCCCCTCCCACCTCTCCCCCTCACACTCCTGAGGAGAAGCCCTGCTAGTCAGGTCCTCCCCAGAGAGGAGGCCGTCTTTCTTTTTTTTTTTCAATTTTTGTTTTTTAAGATTTACATAATCTCTCTGCCCAACATGGGACTTGCACTCATGACCCTGAGATCAAGAGTTGCATGCTCTTCTGGCTGAGTGAGCCAGACACCCCCAGAGGAGACCTTCTAAAAATATTTTTCAGCTGAGGGCTGTTGCGTAGCGCTGGTCTGCACTGCCAATGAGGAACCAAGACAACCAGCGCTGCAATAAAAACAGGCAGTTGTGAGGCTGATGGGGATGGGAAAAACATTTAGACGAATTCTTCCTCTAACCATACTCTGTTCTGTCAGGAAGAATCTTACACACATTCTTGCTGCTCCGCAGCTCAGAGCTGAAAACTACTCGGTACCTGGCTGCATCAGTCTATTTTTCTCAGTCAGTCCTCCTCCTCTCCCCCTGGCCCTGGCCCCTCATCTCTTCCCAGATGAATTCATGAATACACGTGGGTCAACAGGTCGTGATGACAGTGATACTTATTATTCTGGGAATAACCAATGCACGGAGTCCTCATTCTCCGTGATTCCAGGGCACCTGAAGGCCCACTGATCACTGCGCCCTGACCAACGACATCGCTTTAGAACGCAGCAGTCAAGGGCTCCCTCACGCTCACATGTTCTTCCGAAGCATAGAGGACTTCCATTAGTCGCTGCACGAGGTCATCGTTTTCCTGCCCGTGTTCTTGGCAGAGCAGCTCAATCTCTCTCAACTTTCCAAAGTAGAAATCTCTCTCCTTTTCCACACCTTCGAGGGCAAGTTTTAATGAATGTACCTGCAAGGGAGTGGGGGTAGAAGGAAAGAAAACCCAAAAAACAGTATAAGAAATGTGAGCAACTACGCCTCCTATATAGATGGGAAATAACAGATGTGCAACGGAGCTCGAGCCTCGGCCACAAGGTCAACTTCGCCAACAGGCCAGTCTTCCCCTCTGTTCATAACCACTGTTGGACGGATTCTTCTGCTCAACACGGTGGCATACGGGCACCGAGCAAGTTTTCCTCCTTGCCTGCTAAGACGGGCTAGAGCACATCCTTCTCCTACCCCGTTCGTCCTCTGGAGGGAGGAAGGGGAGGCAGGCAGAGAGGCTGCCACTGTGGTTAGTTTAGATGTATCCTGAGGAACCCCCTTTCTTCAGAAGAGCCACCCTTCATTTTGGAGCCCTTCATAAATGTCCCTGAGCATCCTAGACAGATGCTTTCTATGGAGAAATGGGGTCCCAGTTACACAAGGACAACTGGGTGAGATGGAGAGCCTGGCTGAGTGGATCGGGTTTAAGTCCTCTGGTTCTGGCTCTGGGGACACTACAGGGAGTGCAGGGGGAAGAAGAAGATAAGCCCCATGCCCTCAGCCAAACAGCCCTTCATTCCCTTTTCTCCCATTTGCGATTCCAGGACCTTCCACTAGGGCTGTGCGGCCTCTCACAGTGGTGACAGAGATGGTGTAGGAAGGAGGCAACACCTGGTCTGAAGAACTTGGACAGTGGCGTCAACAGACTGGGTGTCCAATCCTAAGTGGGTACATCAGCTACACACGGGCCCAAACCATCACCCTGTGCCTGCTTCCTGGGAATCCTTTTTTTTTTTTTTTAAAGCCCCTGTGCGTTTAGATTTACATAGACAATAACCTTTAGGAGGTAAATTAAATCTCTCATACCCCTCCCCAGGTGAAGTCTCATTCAGTGTACTAAAATCACCCTAACAATTTCTAAAAATTACCTTTGGAAGGGGAAATTTTCTTCTCTAATAATTCTGGGTTTTTGTACATGCTATTGATCTGGCTGGAATTACTGATCCATCCGTCCCCTTCCTGCACACTGGGCCCAAGACTCAGTGATATGGCCCCTCAGAGCTCACCTCGCAGACCCCCTCACACGCGGCTCTCAAGGCCGCTGAGCCTCTCACTAGCTTTCCCTCTTATTTCTAATAAGATGGTTGGGTTATTTGTAAAACCTGAAGGCAACCAGAAGCCTTAAGTAGAGGAGGAAGAAAACTTCCCTTATTCCAGAAATCGTTCCTTGTTGTAAAACAAACCAACCCCTTCCCGAGGCTTGGCCACAGGGTCCCTCTGCAGCCCGTGGTGGTGCCAGCAGATAGATCGTGGCACTTCAGGTTTCTGAGTCTGCCAGCTCTCCCCAGACGAGGCAAGAAGGGTCTCTGGATGCATCCAACCCATGGAAACCAGGTTTGCTGCCTCTCGAGAGTGCTGTGGTCTGTACAGCATATAGGGGCTGAGGCTTCTGGAGAAACATCCAGCCCAGGCTGGCCTCTGGTGGTTCTCCAGATGTGCCGGGGAACGGAGGCACAGCTGTGAACATCCCCAATAAAGAAAGACCAACAGGGGCTGGAGTGTATGAGGACGGGTGAAGTGGCCAAGAAAAGTCCACGGTCCCAGTCCCAGTCCCGGAGGCTGATGCCAGGCCAAACCTGAGGTATTGCCGCAGAGGCCAAAGCGGTGGAAGAGACGCTGGGGACGGACCCCTGAGATGTCAAGAGGAAGAGACAAGAAAAGCAAGTCCTCTCCCCTCAATTCTCTCCCCTCCCTCTCAGTGTCCTCCCAGCTCTGGTGCCCACACCCCAGTGTCTGCGCGGGGCCAACCAGCGCCCACTCTCCAGCCCGAGGGGCCCCTGAGCACGGCGGTGACCCCCCACCCCCCCACTGCCTGTCTGCTGACCCGCGCTCCACACACAGCCCTCAGGATTTTAGTTGTCATCTTGTCCCGCTTTTTAAGAGAGAAAGAGAGAGGGTAGGGGTGCGGGAAGAGGGAGGGAGGATCTTGAGCAGGCTCCACGCCCAGCAGGAACCCAGCGCAGGGCTCCGTCTCACCACCTTGAGATCAAGACCTGAGCTGAAAGCAAGAGTCGGGCGCTCAATGGACCGACCGAGCCACCCAGGCACCCCTCCCCTCTGTCTTTTGATTCGTTTCTATCACTGGAATTGTCATGGGAGACCGCCTGAATAGAGGCAGGAGGCCAAGTAAATGAGAATTCAAGTTTATGGCACTCATCACTTGCTCTATTACGACTGTAATTCACTCTTCAGCCGAGGCGTCTCCACCCAGCCCTTCCTTGTCCCAGAGTCCTCCGTCCTCGCACAGTGATGCCCTGTGGCTCCCCGCCAGCATCAGCAAGGCCCCTTTGTCCCCCAGGACAGAAAACGGAGGGAGAAAACAGAAACAGGGCTATGGATCCGGAGTCAGTGCTCAGTGGACAGTTGGAAGAACGCTCACAATTTAGGGCGTGTGACCTTCCCTCTGAGGGGCTGCGTGGGGGTGAGGGGAGGCAAACGGACATACCCCTCCTTGGTGAGCATGGGGCAGGTGGGGGCAGTGAAGCCCTTTGGAAGTAACAAAGGAATTATAAGACCGTTGGAAAGCTCCTCTCACTCTTCTTCCTCACCCCCCTAGAGTGACGTTTTTGGATGAGAAGATGAGTTCTGGGTCTCTGGGGGTTGGGAGGCTCTTTGAGTAACTGGACAGCTAATGGGAGCACGGAGCCAGCCCCAAGGAGAGGAAGGGGGTCTGTCTGGCTAAGGCCAAGTGGGAGAGGGGCAGGAAGGATCTTGAGGTTTCCATGTCGTTATACTTTGGGTTGGAAGGTTGGAAACTTGGGTGTGGTAGAGGGAGACCACAGGGAGGAAAGAGATCGTGACAGAATGAGAGGTAATAAAGATACCAAAAGAACTTGGGTTCCTAAGGAGAAAGGGTTATAAATCTAAAGCATCAGAGACCCACACCTGATTCTAGGTCTGTTCGGATCTGCTCAGAGCCTGGGGCATGTGGCCCACGGCTCACTGAGGCTGTCACACCAGCCTTTTATTTAAGAAGAACCTACTACTGGAAATTCCGTATGGACTCAAAGTGAGAATCAGCAGGTAGTTGGAACATTCCACAGTTTCCAAATCAAAGTCGTACCCACTGGATGACTCTGGGGTTCACCATTTTCATTAAAGTGATCAGAATTGTAAAGACACGCCTAAGCAAGCCCTGCTCTCAAACTAGACTCCTGACTGCAAATATACAGTTATCTCAAAACTGTTTCCAGACTCATGCTGGCTCATCAGGAATCAGATTAATCACCAGGAATGGCCTGGCCACTCTTCTGGGAACAGCCTAAGAACCATGAATAAAGGCTCCTCTCCCAGTGGTGGGAGCAGCCAGGATAAAGGACTCTCTCCTCACTCAGGTCAGGGGAGGCATCTTCTGCAGGCGGCCTTGTGCTCCCAGTGGTTTTATTACCTTTTGACTACATCTAATCCTAGGCAAAATTAGCTACTGGTAGGTAGACATCATACCTAAACTTTTATATTGAAAATTTCAATGATAGGAGAGCTAGATTTAGACAAAAAAGAACATTTTTCAACTTAAATCACAACTTTTTAACCCCCGAGTGTTGGGCTTGGTGCTTCTGTGACATCCAACTTTTACTGTTGTGGGAAGTGTCCTGTGTTCACTTTGCTGGCATAATCGCCCACCTCAGACCACTGCTCTCAGTCCTACGAGGGAAGGGAAGGTCTAAGGTCTCTCTCTCACTACTCATTATGTTATTAGCACCAAGCATGGGTCTGTCCCAAAGGACAGGCTTGACAAATAGGTGCTGCCATATAAGGAAGGAAGGAGAAAGAGTGAATGGTATCTAGACTGGCCGGAAGTGGGCAGAGGCCGAGGTCTAACCTGAAGCTGGTGACTGGGCCTTGAGGTGGTGTGTGTGGGGGGGGGGGGGGGGGGTGGGGAGAGAGATGTTGGCCCGTGGACCTGCATTTACGTGAGGCTGAGTCCTTCTGTATTAATGTACCGCTTGGATTTCTGACTAACATCTTTTGCTCCTACTGGGCCACTGATTTTATCTGCCTGAACTATTTCTTTAATCCCTACTTGCTTGAAACTACTGCCCCTGCTCCCTTACCTCAGACCTATAGGTGTTTGCTCCCTCCCTCCCCTCTCAGAGACCTGGCCAGGGCTGATGAGTTACCTGTTCATTAAGCTGTATGACCTGTGTTTCTAAATCTTTATCAGATTTGGATGCTGAGCTGCTGGACGAAGCCCTTTTGGCTGATGAGGGACGAGAAGGTGTGGATCCTGGCTTAGACGCTGGACTGGATTTAGCCGCACCTGAAAGTAAGCAGAACAGATTACAAATATTGGCAACATTAAGGATGCTTTTTAGATTACAAATGTACAATATAAAAGTTTACAAGAAAGTATAGAAGGTAGCCCCAATGATCCCTTCCGATCACAGGAGTAGCACACACACTGAGAGAAAGTGCACACAGGGGCGCCGGAGTGGCTGTGGGTTAAGCATCTGTCTTTGGCTCAGGTCATGATCCCAGGGTCCCAGGATCCAGCCTGGTGCTGAGCTTCCTGCTCAGTGGGGAGCCTGCTTCTCCCTCTCCCTCTGCCCCCATTCATGCGCTCTCTCTCTCTTTCTCTCCCTCAAATAAATAAAATCTTTTAAAAAAGGAAAAAACAGTACACAAAGTACAAAGACAGGGTCCACTTGGGCAAATTATTTAATATTTCTGAGCATTTTTTCCTTTCAGTATGAGATTATGTTGTCCTTTCTCCCTCTGTAGAGATAAGAACTCGTACTAAGAGATTTTAAATTTTTTTTTTTTAAGAGGAAATGTTCTTAGATAATCTTGAAGCACCACCATAATGGAGTTTCTAATGAACAAGAAAAAAGAGCTTATGATAGATTAATACTTTAGAAAAACTTCAGTACAAGGGCCTATTTTTGCCCTATTTCCTAGGTTCAGCCACTTGACAGCGTCCGGGAGCCATGACCTCTCTGGAGCAGCACGTGCCCCTGTTCCATATGGCCTGGTGTCTGAGTTTTACTGGGACTGAGAGAGCTTCTTCTTCTTCTTCTTTTTTTTTTTTAAAGAATTTTATTTACTTATTTGACAGACAGAGATCACAACTAGGCAGAGAGGCAGGCAGAGAGAGAGGAAGGAAAGCAGGCTTCCCGCTGAGCAAAGAGCCCCATGCTCTCTGGGATCATGACCTGAGCTGAAGGCAGAGGCTTTAACCCACTGAGCCACCCAGGTGCCCCCTGAGAGAGCTTCTTGAGAGCGGGTGGATTCCAAGGGAGGGGCAAGGGAGGGGCAAGGAAGGGACAGGGTGGGACACCTTCTTGTGTCAGGAAGCAAGGATGTGTTCACAGTCTGATGTGAATAGGCACAGGAGCCAGTGGGAAAATGTCTCCAACTTAGCCACACTCGGGGCAGTTTTATATATCAAAAGAATAATGGCTTTAATGGACTGTAATACATTCAATAAATAAAAATCTAGTTGAGAATGATGAGGAGGAGGAGGAAGGGAGGGAGGGAGGATATGAAAATCTTTCTAGAACATGGACAGCTAGCAAATGCAGAAGAAATGTTAGAACTGGAAAAATCACCATTTTGCAACAAAGGTAACTGGTCCAGGAAAGGCTCACTGACTCTAAAACATTAAGTGAGAAGTTTGGGGGGAATAAGCCATTCATGCATGTCAAGGTATTGTCCTAAAATTTACTTTCTGTAATGGAAAAAAGATATGCCTTTGCCTTTACAATGGGAAGGTCTGGGAATTAGCACCTTGACCAAGTGATTCAACAGCACCACTAATAATGATAGAAATTGAGCGGAGCAGGAGGCGGGGGGAGGTCACTGATGTCAGGTAAGATCTTGCCCACTAGAAGCTCAGCTCCTAATAGGCACTCACAATCTAGAACATGACAGACACAGGAAGTGGCCTCTGCAGCCAAAACTGTGCAACGACGTTTACACACTTCGTGCATTAAGAAATGCAGCGCCATTACCGGGGGCCCACCTGGTCTCCACCACACGGCAGCTCAGCCTGGTGGGGAGGTGCTCCGCCCGATCCCCCGCCATGCTCCCATACCCCCCTGCTTCTCCAGAAGGTCTTGGAGCACAAGGAATCAGCATCCCTCACCTTCGTAACCCCAGTACTTAGCACCACACCTGGCTGAACGTATATTTTCTGAAGGTACAAATGTTGAAATAAACACGTGAACAAGTAAATACAACCTGGTTCTGTGGTTTCTAGTTTCCCAGTTTATCAATACTAACAGATCAGAAAGAGGCAGGGGCAAATGAAGCCAAGTGTGCTGACAGCAGTTACAAGTTTCAACCAATCTCCTAACAATCATGTAGCAAACCACAAGAGTTCAGGTGCCTGGAGTCCCTGGGTCTAAAGGCAAAATCATACACCCCCTCAGAAAGCACTGGCAATATCACACCCTTTAAAATCTGTGACAAGGGAAAAAAGAATTTTCTTCTAAAAATTCCTAGGAAAAGGCCTACTATATTTTAACATGAAAATCAAATTGGGAATCGACTTAAAACAGTTCCAATATCCGAAGGTAAACCCTCAGGGAGCTTAAAACCTCGCCCATGCTGAAAATCTTGCCCATGCTGAAAACCTCGCCCATGCCGAAGACCTTCCCAAGGATTCCAGAGAGCTGAGGCTTTGGTTCATCTGTGATTCCCATTGGGCTGCAAGGATCCTCTATCTCTGCAGAAGCCCACAGAAGATACTTCTGGAGCACCACTTCTAGTGGCCAACTGGCCAGGCTCACTAAAGACCATGCCAACAGAGAAAATAATGTGGCTAACAGCAGAGGACACAGGGGGAGGACATGCTGACCTGGCAAGGGCCTCCTCCGAGGGCAGCTACCAGCCAACCTCGCTGGGGAAAAAGCTTCTGGAAAATCAAGTTACTTCAGACCTTTTTATAAGCAGTGTATCATATTTTTATACCAATAAAGTCCAACAGAAAGGAGCTTCAAGACAATGTTCAACACCTCTTATGTACTAAATACACGCTTATCCAAGGCCTACCACGAAGCACGTCGTCCCGGAGATCCCTGCTCTTCGGGAGCTCATGGGGTTTCACGGAGTGACAGTGGAGTCAGAATGGCCAGGCCGGCCACACTCAACTTTCTCAGGGACAAGGCAGCGTTCCTGACTACAGACCACACAGCAGGATTCGGGCTGGCAGCCCTCTGCCGGAATCACTCCCGTTCCCCTCCTCTGAGTGACTAAGCGCTGCATCCCGCAGATCTGAGCTTGGACGCTGCTGCTCTGGGAGGCCGCAGCACCTGTCCCCGGCAACGCTGTGGCCCTCGCCTTAGGCCTGATCTCCCAGGAGACTTAAACATGGCAGAGTAGGAGTTGCATCTGTTTTGTTTACCATTTTATGCTCCCAAGGCCAATTTCCATGCCTGACCCAGAGGCAACACTCAATACAAGCTTTTATAATACATTAAAAGAACTCCTAGGAGAGATAGCTGTCCAGGATAAAGCTACCAGCGACAGATCGTGGAGCTGATGCCAACGTCAAAGTTGCTGACAGCACGCGCCGGCAACACATGCAGGAAACCCAACGAAAACATCGCCAGCCTCCCACAAGGCGAGCTCTTACTTGGTTTCAAGATTACCTTTGGCTATCGCTTAGGATCAGGACCAAGTACAAGTAGGGACATCACTGTAAGTCACTGTAAGCATTTAACTCTGAGTACAGAGGCACAAGCTAGCTTGTGCTGGGCCAACTCTCCGCGGCCTCTCCTGAAGGAAACAGCCCTGCAGGAGGGGCTCCCCAGGAGTGTGCCTGACCCATGCTGGGCCCTTTCCCCAGGCAGGTCAGCAGCCACGAGGGGGCCAGATGCAGTAGTGGACGTATGTTCATCACTCATTCCTGTACCCTGCCTTACCCAGTCTCATGCAAATTTTGAAAGAAAAACATGGAAGGAATAGAAGCTGATTGCTTGTAAAACAAAGCTATTATGTGTTATATTTCTAGGACATCATCAAAGGCAGCTTGAAGAAAACCTAAAATGTTAGATATGAAGTCAAAGAGGAAGGCTCACAGACAAGCCAAAGCCTCCTACAAGACCACGATACCAACAGAAAAGAGAACTAAAAATAAACATGGAAGCTGGCAGGAAGAGGGGCCCCCAGCAGACACGGCACAGCTCCTGGGGGACAGGCCGGAGTGGCTGCAGGGACAGACGCTGTCCCAGGCACAGCTCCTTCCCAAGGAACCACATCACTTGCTCCAGGCAGAGTCCAACTTCGCCTTGGGTCAGGCTCTTGGCCTTAAAATGCCCCCTGTGTTTCATGGATCCTGTCCAGGTCGTTTGGGGCACGGAGTCCCTGTCGTTCACCTGGTACACACGCACGCGGCTGGTGGATCTCTCCGAGAGGTAAAAGATGAAAACAAAGAAAATCAGACTCGGCATCCTCTGCTGCAGGGCAGGGGCAGGGGGTCTGCCCTCGGGCACCTGTACTTGTTACATGCAGGATGGAAGAATCGCTCCCACCCTGCCCTGGACGGTCACTCACAGGCCGGACAAAGGCATGGAAAATGAATTGGAACAATTAAGTTACAGATGAAGTAATTAGTATCTGAAAGTTAAAGTCAGGCTTTTTGAAATTCTGATTCAGTTGTTTGGAAAGAAAGTGATCACACAGGGAGTGAAATGTCTGTGGACAAGGGCATGCGAGGGCAGGGCTAGTCACCTGCGCATTTACAGACCTCTGAAGGAAGGAAGAAATCGAAGAACAGGAAAGATGCGTCGAAGAGTTTACTGTCTTCAGAGGTTCCAAGTTAAAAAAAAAAAAAAGAAAAAAACAACAAACTACACAATTAAAGGGTTAAAGTAAAAGCTCATTTTTCAAAAAAATGTAAAGTGAGCTCTTTAAATCCTTGAGCTGCTATTTGATATGGAAGTCATTTACCCCTCCCGGCTATCACATAGAGAAACACCAAATCATAAAACTTACAAAAATGAAAATGAAGTCTTTCATTCATTCTGTTTAAAGATTTCACGGTTTACTTTTTAGGAGAGGAAACAGTATCCTAAAGTAGATCACACTCCTTAGACCGCAAAGAACTCTGTTTTTGTTTATTTGCTTTAAAAGTCTCACGGTCTTCCTTTCAAACCACCGTACTCTTGAAGAGTACCCAGCTTCTGGGGTGCCAGGCTGTCTCCCAGCATCTCTGGGGTGCTGGGCTGCTAGAATAAGGAAATGCCGAGAAAATTATAATGATCAGTGTCAGCAAATTTAACATTGGTAGGTCACTTTTAGGTAAACTGCCATTTATAT